ACGTACTGTTACGTCATAACGCAAGTTGAAGCCGAGTTGAGGCAGTCCAACTAGAGGCCATATTGGAATCTATGAAGTGTACTTGCACTTTGGTGGATTGAGTGTCTATCGTTTTGGGAGTCTCTCAACTGCTATCTCGGAGTTATAACCGAGTTATTTCGCCGGGCGTTCCACTTGAGACCCTGTCAAGTCTGGACGGCAAGTTGTCTCGCCTCGCTGTTGGAAGAAAATGAGTCCAACCGATGCTAAACGAGGGGCTAAGCGCAGGAAGAACAAGCGGGGCGGTGGCAGTAGCTGCAGTGCTGTCTGCAACAGCAGCGGTGGCAAGGCCGGGGTTGCTTCGGCCCTGGGCTGTTCGGGAACACCAACACCTGCCTCTGTCGTCAGCTTTTTAACGCCTGGAGGTACAAGCAACGGGAACGTGGGCTCCATCACGGGTTTAAACGGAGAGGTAAGAGTGTCACACGGAGTTAAACAGAACAAGTCAGAGCGGAGATGACTAGCAAGCTGTATTATCAACGACACATATCTGATGTGGGCCCGATACTGATGCAAAGAAGGCGGCTAACTCACCAACATATGCAACGTAGGAGGAAAAAAAACGTAAAATGTGTCCGTGATGTTACCTGTGAAATAAACCATACCAGTTGCCCAGCAGTAGAAGTTGGCTCTGCCGTTAAACTGACGTTGTAATTATGGTAATAAACATTTGGCTTATTTTGGTTTGGCCGTGACCACCGTTAGCGAGAGCAAAAGTGTATCGTAGCGAAATTGACAACAAGTGGAACAGCTCGAACATTAATGTCAATCAATACCATCTAGGTAGGTGGACATGAAACTGACCAACTCGGGAACTCTAGTCTGTAGCATTTTGATAATTACCGTATACTCTTAAACTACTGTCACACGGGTAAACAGTCGTGCTAACCGATGCTAGCTGTCCTGAAAAGGACTTACTTCATCGGGCCCCATGTCTACAAACTCATATTTTCCCCAGTAATATTTATAAATGTTTTCTGCCTATGAGTTTTGTTAGTTTGACATTCTTGTAAAATGTCCCAGGATCTAGCCTCTGAGGGTTATGCTTTTAGAAAGTAAGACAGATTATGATACTACGAACCACACATCATACAGTGCCAAACAATGTACACAGCATATGTTATATACTGTATGTTTTAGTTCATCTGTAGACTGTACATAAGAGCTGGACTTTTGTTTTGGGCTTTGGTTGCAGTGAGGCAGCAGAGGAAGTACCTCTCTGGTTCAGGAAGCATTTCAGATTGCATATAAGACTGTGGAAAATAAGCTACTTCTCCCTCTGTTATAAAGTTGTTAAACATTTGAACAAAGATGCAGAGGTTAAACACGTCTGTGCATTAAAGCTTTATGGTGACATAATAAAAAACAAAGTAAACTTCAGAGTGCACAGGTTAAACTGTCTGGACTCTAGGTAGTAGGAAACACACAAGTTGATTTCTTACTGTAGGTGTATAGTTTCCTTTAAGGCCATGCCTATGATCCTGGACATCAGGCTTAATCTTGTTTTCAGGTCATTGAGGTTGTTGTCGTAGCATTGTGTCACTTCAACAACACAAAAACAGCAATGTTTCCTTACCTCATGTCTTTTATAGGAACTTAATCCCAGACTTGTTGTAAATTTGATATGTTCTTTAACATGTGGTTGTGTTGCTTGCAATGTTAAACGAAAAAAGTATTTAAAATACAGACATTTAATCTGACCATTTTTTTAAGTTTACATCTGCTTTTTATTGAAACAATGCTCATCAAAATGTATTTTATTTAGACATTTTCACCTAGATATTGACCTGTATCAGTTATCTTGACACTCTCACATATACAAAGTACAAAGTACACATTTTTACATGCATTACAATAACCTGCATTGTTCAGCTAAACATCTGAAGTCAAGACTAATTCAGGCAGCCTGAATTTGCCCAACAGCTAAACTTGTTTGAACGCATGATATATGGACTATATGGTTTTTTTTTTGTTATCAAGGTCACAGTGTCATACAAACTCAAAACATTATGGATGATTAAGCAAAAATGACACAATTAAAAGGTTTCAATTTACATGTCATGTTCCATTTTGGGACATTCTTTTCGTAGATAATCAGTTAAGTTAATAAAGACAAGTGATACCACCTGAGACTAAAGAAAAAGTGTTGCGTTATCAACTGTCCAGTCATAAGTCATATTTGCTCTGTACCATCAGGTAGCCTGCCTGCTTTGTGCTGCAGGAATTCCCAGGCCTGACTGTCAGTTTTCTGCTTTGCATGGCCATTATTCACACAGTCCAAAGCCTTCAGAACCCCACTAAGCTGCAGTATATTCTGATAAAAATACAAAGCTCAAGGAGTGATTCAGTCTTACAAATGTCCTTCTATAACTTTTTCACTGTTGTAGAATGAAACAAAGTAGAAAGTACTCACTAATATATTAACGTGTTATTGTTTGAATCAGGTCAACGTGAACAACATTGTTACACCACAGTTTACGGAAGGACCAGTCAACGCCGACTTCTCCGGAGTTCTGCAGGTGATTTCCTCTCTGGTTCAGAAGTTTGCATGAGGCATGGGTAAAAAAAAAAACAAGCGTGAAACGGCATGTTTCAGGGGTCGATCACACAGAGGCAGCTTTGTGTTGGTTATTATTAGGGTAACATTGCTGTAGCACTGTAGCCTGGTCCACATGAAGTGCAGCAATGAGCAGCCTGAACACACTGCTCCTCCACACAACTGTTTGCCGTCAGACTTTGTCAGTGGTATCCATGTGAAGTAGAAACTTTGGATTGAAAGAGATTTTTTTTTTTTGCACAAACGTGTGATATTGCAAGAATAAGCTGACATATAAGTGAATAAGTCCATTGATATTAAAGGTTATTAACACTAACTTACACAGGTGTGGTTTTTTTCCCTGTTTTTCTTTCGGCTGCATTTTAGTAGAAAAACAGAATATAATGTGTATCAGCTTGTTTGTAGTACCCTGATTGTGGAGAAGAATTGAACTTGTCTGGCTTTGAGCTGTGTTCACATTGGCAGCTACTCAACCTGCAATGTGTCAAGTCAATTTGATTAACTTTTTTCTTGAAATGGAAATGCCCAGTATTCACATGAAGTCACAATTTTTTTCACAAGAAATAACCTAACAAACTTATCATGAATAACACCTATGTAAATGCTGAAGTGACTGTTTCTCATAATATATATCTGTCTTATTGTCCTCCACCTATTATGTCCAACAAAGACCCCATTTACATTTGGCTTGAACCAGCGGGCGCCATACACAGCCGGTGATCGTTGCCTCTTATGTCGATGTGAGCGTAAAGATGGTGCGGTGCCTTCAGAGGCAGGCATTCTGGGCCAGAACGGCACAGCGCAGCCCAACAAGATGTCCAGTTCCCTTCAACTCCCTTTATGGGTGTGCTCCGACTGTAGGCGCACAGTCGAAAAGGAGGATCGACACACCTCACTGGAGCAGTCGCTTGGGGTAAGTCGTGTGTGTGTGTGGAGAATTAAAAATCCAGAGAAGAATTTTAGGCCCTAAAGTTTTAAAGAGATGTCACCATGTAATCATATTTAAACACCCGGCTAAAAGTGGACGCAGTTCATCTGACACCTGCGCATCATTAAAATGAACACAGTTGTTGGTGGAAAACAGACGGACCCAGTATCTTTAAATCTGTCTCCGACTTCTGCAGCTGTAGGCAGCTGTGACCATCCTAATAAAGCAGATAATTGGATAACCAGCAAGTCTGTGGTTCCACCACTGGTTTCTCACAGCTGTGTGCTAAACTATCCTTGGGAAAAACAGTAAAAACAGGGGTTCTTCGACAGATGTGCCAGCAGAATTTGAGCACTGTGTGTGTAGATGGATGAATGTTGTAAATATCTGCTGTGGAACAGTTGAAGCATCTTCATCGTGATAAGAACATCCCATAATACAGATGTTTGTTACCCTAATGGTATTTAGGTCAAATGTACCGTTTTCTTTATAAGGAAACATCACAGCGAATTACACACATTGACAGTATGAATGTTGAGAATGCATTAGATGTTCTTGGTGCGCTTTATAAGTTTTCTACTAGTACTAGTTTTGTATTTGATTTTCCTCACACCTTTACACGTGACTGTAAATCTCCTCTCTGCCCTGTGACATGTAGATTCTTGATTTCGTTGTATAATAGTCTCTTTATGTAGAGCTTTTTTTTTAAGTTGAAGTACAGTACAGTATATTTCTGGGGGGGAGTAGGGATAAGCACGTGTAGCTGTGGAAAAATCTAGTAATTCACCATGGATCTTTTTTATTTTACAGATAAAAAGTTTAAATAATATATATATATTAAAATAAATTGTGCATTTTAACACTAGTTGAAAACAGTTTTGTTCTTTTGAGAGAATATTGACCTTTTAGTGTCGGTTAGTGTCACATATGTTTCACATCAGATTTTCCATGCTGGGAACAACATTTTGCTGTCCTCTACGTGAGTGATTACTATCCAACAAAGATTTGGAGACATTGCCTTTTTCTCCTGGGATTTAATGTTGAACAGCCATTGAAAAGTGTGACCTTAGGTTATTTCATGTGAGAATTTTGAGGCTTTGAACCAATATGCAACTGTTGCTTAGTTAATGACACAATAGCTGTATGAAATATGTTACCTTCTAAATTGTGGCTTGTTCAGCAAGTAGTGGAGTGGCATTTCGTCAATGAGGGTGTGTTTGACTTTGGGTTTGGTTTCCTCCTTATATCCTCCCAACACAGGTTTATAATAGATCCTGTTGGCAGCAGCCGGACTTGAATTGTCCTTAAATGAGGCACATTTGGCCCGAAATATTCATATATTGTTGAGTTAGAGTGTCTGACATAGGAGAACTGTTCGTCAGTATGATAAAAGGTGAAAGTCTGTTTGTCTTTATACATTAAACACACACAACTACTTATGTGAACTACCAGAGACAGACAGAGAGATGGACCGAGAGACAGAGAGAGAGATATACAGTGATACAATGTTTAAAAACAAAAGCATAAGTATTTTATTTGGAAATAAAATATGTATTTTGAAGTGAATCAGTTGAAGATATTTGAAACCACCACAGGGCCACACAATGGTAAATGTATTCAGAACGCTAGACGATCACCATTTCACTGGTCCAGTTCCTGGTCCAGCTCATGAACAATCATGGAGTTTGTATATTCTCCACCGTGTCTTCACCTACTCGGCTTCTTCTTCCCATTGTCCAAAAACATGGACATTAGAGGAGTAGGATTTTTCAGACACTCTTAATTGACCAAAAGTGTTAAAAAAAGCGTTAATGGTTATTTTTGTCTGTATGTGGCCCAGTGATGGGCTCCAGCATGATCCTACAGTTTAGGTAAAAAAAATGTTTAGTCCCTTTTTTTTATAAGTTGTGTTTTTTTCTTTATAAAACACAGAGCCAGGACTTCCTCTTACAAATGCCTGTGGGTAATGGAAACCTGGTCCAAGAGGCAGCTACAGCAGACAGACTGACCACTGCTGCGCCTACATTACCCATGCTGCCTGCCCCGGACCTGACTGCACCGATGCCTGCTGATACAGTGTGCAGCTGTGAAGCCTGCAGTGAGAGGAGGTCTGTTCAGAATGACCTTCATACACTCTCACTCCATCCACTTTAACATTGGCTTGTGTCTAAGGAATATCTTTCCGATCTTATGTCCCAATTTGCAGGGAAATCTCCGCTGAGTCAGAGAGGGAATCACAGCAGCTTCAGAACCACTGGTCAGAGGTTCGGTACTTGGTTCGCTGCATCTATCGCCAGACGGGAACACCACTAGCAGACGACCACGACCAACCTCTGGAAAGAGACAGGGAGGGCATGAAGGAACTGGTGGACAGGTACAACAACAGTTGCTTTGCTTTCTTTTTTTCACAGCAGCTTTTTTTTTTATAGCTTTTTTGTCCACTAGATGTCACTGCTAAACTGCAGAAACCCTTTTGGACAGAAATAGTCTATCAAAAAAAGAAAAACCCTGCAGAGCTTTAAAGGTACATAAATTATTCATGTTGGGAAAATGGCATCTGTGGTGTGTTGACACACTAATGAAACAGACCTGGTTCTGACAACCTTTTTTTTGTTTGTTCTTTTGCTCCACTATGATGTTAGGTTTTGGCCTATGTTTCCATAGTTCTGAGCTGTGTATATAAATTGCAATAATTATATATTATATAATTATATATAAATAATAATAATCTCTCTTATTGTTGTTTCTTAAATCTCCTTAAATCCCTTTAAAATGCAGACTTTGTGAGAAGGACCCCTACCAACTATATCAGCGGTTGGAGCAGCAGGCTCGTGAATATGTCTTAGAAATGAAGGTGCGGCTACTGAAGCACCTCTCCGCAGGCTCCAAGACTGGAGGACAGCCGGGGACTGTGGCTGCAGCTCAGGGTCCTCCTCAGGCCCACCAGTTCATCTCACTGTTGCTGGAGGAGTACAACGCCCTGTGTCAAGCTGCACGCACCATCAGCAGCTTCCTACTGACCCTGGTTGGTTTTACTCTCTGCAGGAGAATCTGTTCTTTTAACGGCATTTTGTTTTACGTGGCATTCTGTTGTTGTGTTATGTTGGAAGATATCCATTACTGTAACGGCCTTTGTTGCTGCCATTGTTGTGATATGTAACTTCATCTCTGTCGTTTTCCTCAGGAGAATGAGCACCTCAAGAAATTCCAGGTCACGTGGGAGCTGCACAACAAGCACCTTTTTGAGAATCTGGTGTTCTCTGAACCAATATTGCACAGCAGTTTACCTGCACTGGTTGCACAGCTTACGTAAGTAAATGATAAGGCTTTGACTGTACATTAAGGTGTATTTAAAATCCATGTTTGTTTGTTTTTCCACATGGAAGTATTGACTGTGTTTTTCTTCTCAGACACGGCACAGCCTCCCATGATTCCTACAATGAAGACATGTACAGAACTCTGTTAGAGAGATACCAGCAGCTGCAGCAGGAGATGGCGTCGGTGGCAGCTGAATGGCAGGAGTGTGAGAAAAGGATAGATGACTATGTAGACGAACAGGTACACACATGTACATTGAAAACGTTGGGCAGACATTGTCGTGTGGGTTTTGAGAAGTGCTGGATAGAGATGTGACCTTGTGATTCCCCTGCAGCTGCTTTTTAAGGTGGACGGACAGAGTTTTACCAACCAAAGAATGGAGCCACATAAGTCGTTGATCAGCAAAAGTGTAAGAATTTGAACTTGGATTTAAATATGACTGTAAAACAATTTTCTTTTTCTTTTCTTTTTTTTAAATCATCTGTCTATTTCAGACGTTCAAGACAAAACAGAGATTGCTGAAGGAGGACTGGGAGTTTTTTAAACAGAGGAAATTTATAGAAGAACAGGTAAACCTCGAAACTCTGATTGGCTGGTACTTTTTTCGCTGCTACCGAGCAAATTAAACTTTTTTCATTTTGTCCTTGTGACAGTTACCAAACAGTAAGAAGACTTTAGCTGGAGACAGCACTTTCACTGACACCATGAGGATGCTCTCATCTCGCCTGAGTATTGCAGACTGTCCTAACTGCAATTATCGAAGAAGGTGAGTTTTAAAGGATTGTTGGCATGGGATGTGTGACCTTGAATTTTAACTGTGTGATTAAGGTATACATCTAGATGTAATAAAAATGTTTTTAACTTATAACATAGTAAAATCATTTTGTTTATTTTTGTAACATTAGTAATATTAATATTAGTAATTATAATACACCAAATATAAAAACATGAACTCAAACATATAGGCTAGAAAATAAATCTATTTACATAAAAGATTGTGAATTCTGATATAGACTGTGTCCTTTGATTAACCACTGTGTCTTAATCACCCGATCCACAGGTGCACATGTGACGACTGTAGTCTCTCTCACATCCTGACCTGTGGCATCATGGACTCTCCCATTGCTGAGGATCTCCACATCAAACTACCCCTGCAGGGGGAACCCCCGCAAAATTACATTAGTGAGATTCATCCTCCCAGTCTGTCCTCTGGCAGCTCAGCCTCGGGCTCTAACTCCAGTTCTCCCATCACCATTCAGCAACATCCCAGGCTCATTCTACCTGATAGGGATAGCAACACTTTGTAAGGCTGCAGATGTTACTCGGTTCACAGCACTAAAATCAAAGCTGAGCTGATAAATCAACAATTTCTTCCCTTTTTTCATGTTGGTGAAAATGACTATATGTCTCTTTTTTTCCCCAGTATAAGTGACGATGATGAAGTGCCTCCACTGTCCGCCAAGTTTGGGGATATGTACCCAATGACTGGCTACGAGCAGAGCACCATAGTCGTACCTGCTGTGAATGGCCTGCACAATGAGCTAAATAAGCAAGGTGAAAACGTGGATCTGCAACCAGGGGTAGGTTCAATATATACACGCGCGAGATTTTAACAAAAAATATCAATAGTTTAAGCCAATCATTTTTATGGTAATGTTTTCAAATTCCGCACACATTTTCATCCGATGTTTTGCCCCTAGTCTCCTCAGATGAGCAGCAGCAGTAGTTCGTCAGATGGTGATGAGGAGGAAGGTGATGTGGAGGTCAGTGGTAAGACGTCGGGGCGACAGGAGGAACTTTGTTCAGGAAAGAGCAGCAGTCCTCCACCAGCATACAACCACCAGCAGGTATTTTTGACACATTCACGTAAATGTATGGTTTTTACTGGGACTGTCAAATTGATTATTGATTAATTAATATAAAATGAGATTGTATTGTGTGACCACTCTCAGGTAGAACAGGCCCAGCATGCCTGCGAGTGCCATGTATGCAACCAGGACCCCAGCCCCTCCACCCTGGGCCTTGCCACTTGCCTGCCTCCCGGTCGGCTCCATGCTGCTCCTCCTCCCTCTGCTGTTGGACACCAGTTCTTCACAGATCCCAAGACTCCCCCTGCGCATCCTGCCCTACATCTTTACCCCCATATCCACGGTCACCTGCCCTTACACAACTTCTCCCGGCCCCTACTGCACCCCACACTTTACCCGCCCAGCCCTCCTCTCACACACAGCAAGGTGAGGATGATTCTTGATACACGTAGACAAAAGTTTTTAATATCACAGCAACGGGAAATTTTTCTTAGCACTGGGGAATTTTAAAACTTCCTCGAACCATACTTGATTGAATGTCTTCTACTTTCACTTAGCTTGCTGTTATTTTATTATTCTGCCACTAGGGGTCAGACTGAACTACCTCTGATTGATGACAAGTACAAGTCATTGCAGTCTATTAGAAAAACAGTATTCTGTAATGACCACTCTCTCTTTCCAAAGCCCTTGCCCCCGAACCCCACATCAGGTCATTCTGCGGCCAAGCAGCCGGCTTTTAGTCCCTCACTTCCAGAGCACGTCTATCAGAATTGCTTTGGAAATGCGGGCGGAACCAGTGATTGGAACAACTCGCTGCAGTGCCTCTCTCTCAAATTTGAGAACCTGTGGGACGCCGCGGTGATGAAAAGCTGGAATCCATCTGTGCTTTTGCCCGAGTCCCTACCAGGTAAACCACCACAGACAGATGTGCCCACTGAGATAATATATTTAGTTATAGAGTACAGTTTCAACTTCCTATCAATCAACAGGGGACATGCTTGGACCACAACTCGACGTTCCTCTCCCTCCAACATCCTCTATTGGCCCTCAAGGGGACCACCCTTTGTTGCCCACCCACGTGCCTGCTTCCTCGTCGTTGTCTTCATCTTCATTATCGTCAACTTCATCGTGCTCCTCTTCAGAAGCAAAAGAGCAGAAGAAGAGTGGCGCCAAGAAGAAATGTCTCTACAATTTTCAAGATGCCTTCATGGAGACCAACCGCGTCATGATGGCCACCTCTGCTTCCATGTCCTCTGTGTCGTGTACTGCCACCACTGTCCAGTCAAGTAATAACCCACCTCTCCATCTAGCACCTCAAAGACCCAACTCCTTAGGTAATATAGGAGGGAAGGAACAGTTCTTAGGTTTGTACACATGGTAGGCTCTCTGAAAATAGTTGTTACACATAGGGTGGTCCTGATACCATTTTTTTACAGACTGATATGAGTGTTGTTATTTTTGTGCTCACCTAAATATACAATGGACGGCAATGAACTGGAAGGCAATGTAACATAGGTGCTGCAGTTCTTTGACAAATAAGGTGATGTGCAGTGTGTGTGCGTGAGCTGCACCTAAGTCTATAAACTGACACTGACATCACAACATGTCATTAAAACGGATAAAATATGTTTTAAAAGTAATATTTAGGAATCATTACAAATAAGTAAACAAAGCATAATTCGTTATTGCTCCTGACTTTGTCTCTGATGTTAAAATATCTCCAAACTGTAGAAATTGCTGACCTACATGCATAAACTACGACTACCACGAGGATAATAAGACACTGAAAACAAAAAACACAAACGCAGCTAGTTGTAATAAAAAGCTCTTAGGGCGTATCGGGTAACACCCCCCCTTCCCCAGAGCTTAACCTAATGAAACCAGCCTCCCCCCACCCCTCCCCAGAGCTTAACCTAATGAAACCAGGTTTCGAAACTTGAAGTCGTCTCATTTTATTTCTTCAGTTTCTAGTTATATACACTAATACAATTTAAAAGTCACCCATTATCTGAAAATAAATCTCTCGATGGGACTAATGCAGGCTTTAACTGAATCTTAGTCTGATATTACAGTTAATTAGAATGAATATCGCTCTAAATATATCCAAAACCTACCAACAAACTCACACTCTAACTTACACCATGTCTTTCTCCTCTAGATGATGTATTTCACAATTTAGGTAAAGAGGACCATAGGCAACCCACTTCAGTCACCTCTCGGAACGGCTCTGCAGGACTGACACCCCTCCCTCCACTATCAGGCCCTACATTGCCCCCAGCACCCACACACCTTCCCACAGTGGGATCACAGCCCTTTCCAAAGATGGCTGCCCCGGCCCCAGACTTCATCGATGCCCATCAGGGTTTGTGTCTCCCTTCTGCAGAGCCACAGGTCTCCTCCATAGATGCTCCTATCAGTGCTCCGCCTAGTGTCTGCAGGTGAGGAGACTGCTTGTCTGGAAATGTTGTGTTGTAATTTTCTGATGGGGAAAAAGTTATTGGCAGAGACGAGGCCCGTTTTCATTTGCTTTCAGTGACCCTGACTGTGAGGGCCACCGCTGTGAGGGGAACGGGACGTACGATCATCAGCAGTACGATGGAGAAGAGAGTCAAGACGAGGACAGTTGTTCTGAGCACAGCTCCTCCACCTCCACCTCCACCAATCAAAAAGAAGGAAAGTACTGTGACTGCTGCTACTGCGAGTTCTTTGGGCATGGTGGGGTAAGACCTTTTTTTTTTTACCAGCTGTATCTTAGACCCTAAAATTTCTTAGATTAAATAGATTTTGATTAATTGTATTGAGTTGAATTTTGACTGCCGTTTGATAGTATTCTCGCTGCTTGCTTTGATCAGCCCCCAGCTGCTCCTACCAGTCGAAACTATGCAGAAATGCGGGAGAAGCTGCGATTACGTTTGACAAAACGTAAAGAGGAGCAGCCAAAGCGTGAAGAGCAGCAGCCTATGATTGAACGAGATGGAGGGGTGGAGGACCACCGGCGGGTAGAGGACCTGTTGCAGTTCATCAACAGTGCAGACAGTAAACCTGTGTCTAGTTCTAAAGCAGCAAAAAGGGCCAGACATAAACAAAAGAAGGTAAAGGTGACAATAACCCTTAATCTGCTCACAGAAATCAACTTAAAAATGAAAATAACAGCTTTAATATAATGTTTTTCCCCCTCACCAAGCCATTTTAAATTCAACTGTCTCAACACTGTTAAGTTATAAATGTGTGTTCTCCAGATGGAGGAGAAAGCTCGTCTGGAGGCAGAAGCCCGTGAGAGGGAGGAGCAGCTTCAGTTAGAGGAGCGGCAGCGGCAGGAAGAGGAAGAGGCAGCTCTTCAAAAGGAACTGTTGCGGCTGCAGGAGCTGCAGCAGCATCGTGCTGCAAAGAAGAAAAAGAAAGAGAAAGCCAAGGAGAACACAGCACCCCCTCACAACAACCCACAGCCCCTCAAACAGACAGCTCAGAACGTTCTAGACAATCTTCAGAACGGAAAGACACAGCTGCTTCAGAACCTTATCCGCCTCCCTGACCAGAGAGAACCCAGATTCGATCACAAACCCCAGTCCAACGTACAGCAGAGCCCGAAACGCAGCACTAGCAAAGGCTTAACGGCAGAGATCAACATCCCCAACAGTCCAGACACTCTTTACAACTGCACTTCTATGTCTCACCTTGATATCAACCATAAAGTCAAGGCCAAACTCTCTGCAAAAGTGGCCAGTAGCGAGACTGCAGTGAAGAAAGCCGCAGAGTTGCCCAAGAGCTCAGATGTTGCAGCAAAGCTCATTAATGGCAACACACCCAGAACTTCAACAGACACCAAAGCAACACAAGTCAGACCTGCTGAGGCCTCAACTCCTGTCACAGGCACCGAAGTGAGAAGGGATGACAGGTGTAACAACAGAAGTGCCAGTGGGAAAAGACAGCAGCAACAGCAGCAGCAGCAGCATCATCCACCCCAGAATCAGAATCAGAAGTTGATCCAAATGAGGGAGGACAGGAGAAGCCCACCTGTCAGACTCTGATCCAAACGAGGGAGGACAGGAGAAGCCCACCTGTCTCAAATCCCTCCCCAACTCCCCCTCTGGCCTCTCAGTGTGATCAGAGCCAGCAGAACGGCAAACTTCCCAGTGCAGAGTCCCCACAGCCTAAAGGCAAGGCAAAGAAGAACAAGAAGAAGAAAGGGGACAAGATGAACAACTCAATCGGTTTGTATGATCCAGAGTTCTGGTTAGAATTAGGAAATGTGTGTTTTTTACACAACAAACAATTACAAACTGTTACAAAAATCCTGAGCAGCATTCATTTGAACTCTTCTGGGCTGGCTAATAGAGAAGGAGGTTGGTTGAGACACTGTAGATCCTTCTAGTCTTTGTAGTCGACTCACTGGTGATTAAAGTAAAGTGTAGACACACATGGCCTCCTACTGTTAACTGGCAGTGTTGGTCATTGGCGCTGTCACAGCCGAGTTCACTGTTACCACCTACAAAACACAAATTCATATAAAGTGATGAGGATATGGTTTGATCTTAGTTCCCCACAAAGATAAAACATGATAATCTGTACAAATCAGTTTTACTGAAGTAAAAGCTGATGTCATATTTTGTTCTCTGCGTGTTTTCTCAGATGATGTGTTCTTGCCTAAAGACATCGACCTGGACAGCACTGAGATGGATGAAACGGAGAGGGAAGTGGAGTATTTCAAAAGGTGATTGGATGACATTTGACCAGCTTTGCCAAACAGTGATGTAATCTGTGGGGGATTTTCACTCAGGGTGTTGGTGAAGTTTTGGTTACTGTCCCTTTTGACATTGCACAGTTTCTACAGCTATTCATTACCAGCTTTGAAGGAGGAACAAGTCACTTCGCTTTTTCAAAAGAGAAGAAGTTTGTGTAAATAATAAGGATTCCCTTCGTGGAGTAAAGAAGTTTTTATTTCTTTATTCCATCGAGTTAATAAACATGTTTTGTGTGAAGCCATTTTCAATTCATTTAATTCAATTTAGAACAAGAACGATTCCTCCAACCCTCCCTCCACCCCCTCAAAAAAGTAACCTGTGTTTTACGATCTCTCCTCAGGTTCTGCTTGGACTCTGCTCGACAGACTCGTCAACGACTTTCCATCAACTGGTCCAACTTCAGTTTGAAGAAGGCGACGTTTGCCGCACACTGAAAGTGTGGGGAGGGGGGCGCGGACAGAAAACGCACCCAAAAGGCTTAACCAACCCCCACCTTCCCCACCTGTCCTTTTAACCTCCACACAAGTGTTTTCCCCCCCAGAATCTCTTCCTCCTGCTGTGCCCAAATCACACCCTCGCTGCCTTGCTTTGTTCTTGTCACTGTGTTGTTCCAGCACAGACATATTAGGACTGATCATCCTCCTGCAGAACCGAAGCAAAACTCAAACAAAACAACCGTTAAAAAGAAAAAAAATGAAAAAGAATCACTAAATGCTACTTTACACTTGATTTATTTTCCTTGCGTGCTTGTGTGCTTTTAGCCTGAGTTGGACGACTATCTGGACTGAAAAAGCCATGGTCTGAGATTATTTTCTTACACTGGCTTACCTGTAGTCAAAGATGCTATGTCTGAATGGTTCCCTTCCTTAAAAAAAGAGATAATGGAATCTAGAAAAAAGATGTAATGAATTAAAAGCTGTTTTTGAGATATTGTGGTTCATTATCCCATCGTTTCCCGCTCCTAGCACTTCATATCACCCACACGATCGACCAGGGAATGGGGCTTGGTCTGCTGGTCTCCCCTCTCTTCTCCTCCTCCAGCACCCTATTTCACAGAAGGGGAGGGGCTTAATACTTGACAATGTTAATATATATATTTTTTTTACGTTCTGTTTAACAAACTGTTAAGTAAACGTGTACCAGTTACAGTTTTTTGTTTTCTTGATTTTCCACCTGTAGCCAGCTTGTACCAGAGTACCTTCAGAATTTGAAAAAAAAGGATCAATACTCACCCTATCAATCTGTTAAAGAGTGTCTATTGTATTAACACTGAAGCCAGACTGGCTACTTTTAACATATTGTTAAGTAAATATTAAATCTTGTCTTTCTTTTTTGAAAGATACAGTAGTAAAGGCAGGATGATGTGTCTTGTGTCAAATCTTGTCTCGGCTGCATTAGAAAAAACCTCAAACACATGACAGGAATTATTTTACAA